GGCAGTAATTGCTTGGATCAAATGAATATGCTAAATTTTGCCTCTAAGTTGTTTTTGGTTTTTTTTTTTGTGAGGAAAGTGAGTTTAATTATACTGTCCGCGTTTTGCAGTAATATAAAGGGGCACAGCTCTGCCTAGGATGTCTTCTGTCTGCATCTCCAAAAAATACAGCCCACTACCTCCACAAAGGCACACAGCCCAGCTCCCCAACCGGGGACTGTGCGTACCATCAGGAGCATCTTCAGGAACCAAGACGCCACAGGATCAAAGTCAGAGCATCAGCACCTCACACAAAAAGATGTATTTAAATGTACTTCTGAATTTCTTAACACATAAACAGTAGATTTTTTAAAAAGAATTATGCCTGAAAATTTTCCTTCTCTTTCAGAAGACTGGGACATGTAACCACTTTTAAATGTCAATTAAAAGACTTTGGTACAAATCTCAAATGACAACCCTCAGCTTGCTATTTTGAAACTGAAGCCTCAGTCTTCTGAAGAATTAGCATAGCAGGTATCAGTATTGCAAACTGAAAATTGTAAAACAGAACCATTGCTTCTCTAATTCAATTTACCAAACTCAGGAAAATCAACAAGAAACCTGCTTTTGCCTGTTGCACTCTTTTTTTTTTTGCCAAACTCTCTCTCCCTGTCTCATTTCACAAGTGCAGATATAACAGGAAAAAAATAAAGCCTTGTTTAGATCTCAAAAAAAAATGCATGCTCTGAAATATGTGGGACAGCTTACACCCCTCAGCGGAAGGCAGCTTAGAATTTTTCATGAGAACAACATTAGAAATATTTCAATATACATGTGAATTAGCCCTTTCAACTCTCTCACTTCCTCCCCTGAAATTAATTACTACAGATGTGTGTAATTATTTTTGAATGGTTCTGAACACATTTTTTGTATACATTTCGATGTATAGCCATTTTACATGTTCTATAGCAAACCAAATGAAAATACCCAGCTTGCAAACGCCTTTCCCATGGCAGAACATTGTGTGATGACAGCACCGTGATCCTGATAGAAAGAACATCTGGAGAAATACTCCCCATCAGGTGGGGGCCTTGAGTGTGCTAAAATAAATGATAGCGAAAGGAATGCTTTAATCTTTGTTTCCTTTGGCTCTGGTAGCCCAAAAGAAGTAGGTATTATATACGTCGTGGTGTCTCCCTGCCAATTCTGAATCATTCTTTATGCCCAAGGTTGGCAGCAGGACTGGCTGAATCAATTGTCCTCCTTTTGGGAATGGGACCGACCACTTCCTTTTACCCAGCCAAAATTGTCTAGACTGGTCCTAGAAGAACTACAAATCAGGCCAGGACCCTTGCTATTATCTGTCATCAACTAAATGTTTTTTTGTTTTTCCAAGTGAACAAGCCAGAAATTTCCATGAGGAGAAGACCACATCCGTAATAACTCTTTGGAGGCACGGGGCCTTTTACTCAAGACATGCTTGAGGGCTCTGAGCCCTATCAAAGCACACCAACAGCAGCTCTTGCATTCACTCAAGAAGTGAACTCCGTGGCCGTTTAGCACCTAGTTTTTTAAAGCAGTTATTTGTCACTGTTCGATTAAAGAGGAGCTGGCTGCTTGGCGGCTGGAAGCTCCCGTCACAGCAGGCTTGGCAGGTCCTGCAGCTCAGCATCCTCAAAGCCGATTAAAACCCAGGGCTGGGAAACCACCATCCATGGGCTGCGTCAACCAGAAACGCTGACAAGAGCTTCTGCTTGTTAAAAAAACAACATTAAGCACAGAATGAATCCCCAAAAGGCAACAGCAGGAGCGTCGGGGCTTAAGTGGGAGGCAGAGTGCTCTAAATAATTCCTGTTCCTCCCTGATCCTCCCAGGAGGGAGCATCCATCACACACCACCGTGGCAGCAGGACAAATGCAACCAAACAAACTCCTGCTCACCATCAACCCACAGTTTGTAGCTTTAAATAAAGGGGTGGGGGGAGAGCTATACAATGATCCTAATGAAAGGCATATGGGTAACATAGATAGAAAGGCAGTGGTTCTTAGAGATTTTCAATTCGCTCCTTAAATTGGCTAATTTTGTTCTTAAAGCGTTTATTTTTGATGTCAGAAAGCAACCACAGGATCCTAAAGGTCCCGATAACACAACAGGCACCCACAGTGAAATAGCTCGTAACTCTATGTAAAGAGAAGGGGATTATTTCCATTGCATACCCCCCGTCGCCTCCAGTAACTTCTCAAAACTCAGCTTGCCTGAGCTGGTCAGGGCAGAGACACCTCCAGCCCTCCCACCCCACTGTATGCCAACCAGTGGAGATGCTTTCCTCTTGTGATAACCCTGGATGATCAAATTACTCCTCACAGAACAATTTAAGGCAAACCCTAGTTGGCCACATTCTATTACTGGCCTCCTTTGCCCTTTAAAAGTTTTATTCTTAAGCACACCCTTTGCATTGCTGTCCACAGCCACCTGACAAATGCAAAAATGGAGCTAAACTCCTCTGTGCCTCGTAAGAAACCCTTCCTGTTGTAAAATGACATTAAAAATGGGATCAATACTACAGATTTTAGCAATTCCACAGAAAATTCAGCAAGCCTAGCCCTGCTGTCAACTAAATATTCCCAAAATGCTGCCTGGATTCTGTCTCAGGTGAGGCAGCAACGTACAGGTCGGGTGAGGAGGAAGCGATGCTCGGGCCTGGATGTACACGTTCTTAATGCAAAAGCCATTTACTGATCAGATAAAGGTAATGGTGCTAATCAAATCGGAGGCAGATACCAACACACCAACACACTCCCGAGCCCGTTGGCAGCGGTTCGCGACGCATTAGAAGATTAAAACAAAGATTAAGATTAAAATAAAGATTAAAGGCAGTCACTTTTTCCAACAGCAACGTGCTGGGCTGCACGCTGGCCTGGAAATCCTCTCAACTAGGGGTTGAGTTTTATTCGAAATCCAATGAACTCACCACTCCCGAAGGATGCTCGGCCTCACTTTTATTATTAAATAAAAATAATAGCAAAACCCAGTGAAAAAAATACGTTGCTAAGTCAAATAAACTATCTAAAGACAAACAAACAGTTCAGGAGGCAATCTGCTGGTAGCAAGTACTAGTAGGTGTCAAAAAAAAAAAAAAAAGGAAGTTTAATTATCACCCTTGTTTCAGGGGGAATTGCTGCAGTAATGGATGAGCGTGTCTGGATGGCTTACTACGTTCTAAAACATCCACGTTTTAAAAGTGGCTTCAGATAGACAAAAAGAAAATATTATGATTAGCCTGACAGAGAGTGTTGTCAAGGAAATTAGAGTAAAGTAACTCTAGATAATTATATAAATAGATAATTAAAAGTAAATTAAAATGAAATGGGGAAAAAAATGCTAAAAATCCTAATGCAATTAATTTCATTATATATTCTTTTACTTGAGCAAATTCTTTTTTAAATGTAATAATCCCTCTTGGGTACTGGGAATAACGGAACTGATTTGTGCCCAGTGATGCAAACAGTTGCATAAACATGTATTAAAAGTCACCGATTTTCATTTCAAATTAGTTAGGTTCCAGCAGAGACAAACTCCGAGGGAAGGAGAGCCAGCACCCCCCAGCTACCAAAGCCCTTCCCTGGACGTGTCCCAGTCAACTCCACAACTACCACACAAGCAAAACCCCATCCACTCAGCATAAATAATATGCTCAAAGTGTATATTTTTTTTGCAGCTCACAATGGTCATCCCAGTAGGAGATCTGCGGGGTAACAAAACACTTTCTGAACTCACATTTTCAAAAATATATCCAAACATCTTCAAGAGCCTGTCTTAATCCCCAATCTCTTTCTCCCTGCACAAAGTATCACTTCAGGTGCTGAATAACCAAACGCGTACTTTCTAAATCAATCAACTGTGGCATTATTTAAAGAAAAGTAAGATTGATGGGAGTGTGTAAAACAAGACCAAAACAATATGAGACGGATTCTCCCAAGTAAGCACCAAAAAAGATTCATTTGATCCAGCGGGTCCAGGCTGGGAGTGGAGCTGGGGACATGTGCCCAGGAGCTGGGATGGTGGGAAAACTGTGACCCCAACCAGACATGGCACGGCATAGAATCATAGAATCATTGAGGTTGGAAGGGGCTTTTAAGATCATCAAGTCCATCGCCAACCCAAGTCACTAACCCATGTCCCTCAGCACCACATCTGCCCGGCTTTTAAATACCTCCAGGGATGGCGACTCCACCACTTCCCTGGAAAGCCTGTTCCAAGGCTTGATAACCCTTTCAGAAGGTGTGGTACAGCACAGCATGGCGTGGCCTCCTTGGCCAGACCAAGGCTGGCAGCCCAACTGGTAGGCTATGACCCAGAGGTAGATGAGGTGGCCAAGAAGATATTCACAGCAAGAAGCATTATTTTCCAACCAAGCTTTGTAGCAATAACCTTCAAAGACAACAGATGATATTGTTCCTTTAAAATTGTTAAAGGGGAAATTAATGGGGGTGGCTGTGTTAATTTAACAATTCCTCTGCAAACGGGTTTCTCCCACATTTCCTTAACATTGCCAATTTTCCCACTGAAAAGTGCACAGTGAATCTATGGAGACAGAAGTGTGATTGGATTTAATCTGGTCAGGAAAGATGCCCTGGTTCTCAAGGATCACCATGTGTTTCCGTAGGAAAGCTACAGCTACCCCTATATTTATCTAGTTACACAGAAGAGCTAATAAAAGATATACATACAGAGAGATAAAAAGTTTAATTTCACTGCAAGTTTCTTCCCTGTAATCTCTCTAGCATATCTTGAGCCACAGCCTCTGTGAACTCTCTGAGGAACAGTTCTTTAATCTCTGCCTTTCACACCACAAATGTGCAAATAAGTTTCCAGGATCTGCAGCGCGGCAGAGGACCACTTCTGCAAGGTAGTGGCAAACCTTCCAGGAGGACAAACAGCTCCCACTCACAGAAGATGAAATGAAATGAAATAAAATAAAATCAAATTAAATTAAATAACAAATGGATTTCTTTCCTCACCTGCCTAATCCCTAAGCGGTAGGCAAGGATGCGGTCCACAGCGTCGGGGTTCATCTGGGTCCACTGCAGACTGTAGGAGTAGACACGGGGTCTGTTCTGCCACAGGGGGTTATAGGTGTCATAGTAGAACTCAGGAGCATAGGCTTTGCCTGCAGGAGATGGGAACAAAACGGGGGAAAACAATGAAACCAGAGAATGATCAGCTGGGTTTGGAGCCAAGCCTTGGTGCAACCTCCCTCTCCCCCTGTGTTATGAGTCATTCGGTTAAATACCTTCTTCCAGAAATTTTGGAATCATTTGCCTCCACCCACTTTTTTAAAGGATTTGTGGCATTGGTTTGCCTTTATTCTTAGCTCACTCCTCAGTGGCATCTGTGGCCCAGGTGTGGGCATGGGAGGGGAAAAAATAAATGAGCTCCCAGCAAGGGCAAGCTGAGCAATGTTAACGAGCCTCCGCCCTAATTTTTCATGGCCCAGCTGACTGAAATAGAGCTACCAAAACAATCTGGGCTACACTGAGCTGAGAAAGGCTCGGTGACCTGGCACAAATAATAGGAAATGACATCCGTGAGCTGGAAACACGAGATGGATATTTCCAGCGACCGCTGCCTTCATCGCATCTTCTCCTCTCCAGCTTCCCAAGTCAAATTGCACACAAGCCGTTCTTCGTCACATCGCCAGCATGCACCCTGTTACCCTACATTATTTAACTGAACATACTGATTTTCACAACTGAGGGAAGTTACATCTCCCCGTGCATCTTGGGTACAGGAGTATTTCACCAGAATGTCATTACAGCCTTCATCCTTTATAAATATGAAAAAACCTAAGGATGATTTCCCATTCACATGACAAAACATTGCTTGAATTCTCTACATTTGAGTTTCATTTGACCTAACCTCAGGAACACTTAGTGACACCTTTACATGCAAATTACCTTTGCACCTCTAGAGTCTCCTGCAAAGAGTGATTTGCCTATAATAGCAAAAATGACCCAGAGTGCCCAATCTGCTTGCCCAGCCATGGGCATATAGTGGCATCTAAGATGCAGTAGAGTGGCTGAGCCATCTCGATTGGGTGGAAGACACAACCCAAGAGCTATAAGAGACCCAGGACCTGCCAGAGCCCCAGCTGGAGCCACATGCACCATCCTAGAACATCTTGTGTACCACCGGGCACCTCTGTACAGGCGAGGAAAATGAATCCATAAAGGCTCTGAGCAGATGTGATGGGGAAAGGGGTGTCTGCAACTGCAGATGCCCCAAAAAACCTTTAAGGGAACTTTTCTCCTCCAGAATACGCAATTCCAACATACCCCAAACAAAAAGTCTCAGTGGATTTGTCTTAAGGGAAACTCAAAACAACGTTAGAGCATGCACCAAAGAGACATAGATCCGTTTTCCGTTTTTAAGTCATTTTGCATTGAACTTTCTTTAGCACGCCGTACCAACCAGGCAGCGTCGCTTCCGTTTCATAGAGCAAAAAGGTTTGGATTGACCTGAAACAAGTTTTTAACAGCAGGATTTGTAGCAATAGTTGTTAATGACCAGTTTTCGCCCTGGATCTACTTCAGTGGGAACAAGACCTCAATTCAGAGACTGACCGTCTTTCCATGGAATAGGTCAATCCTCGCCCTGTCCTGCCTCCTTTCTTGGGAGTTTTCTGTACTTTGAGCATATATTGGGATCAGGATGGGGGCAAACACTAAACCAGGCTCTGCTGTGTTAAATTTTGTCACCTGAATTAGGCAAAAAAGAGGACAAAACATGGGAACCAAAACACATGCAGACGTCATCCTCCTGTGAAGGTCTAAAAGAGACTTGTCATTAGAGAAAGACTGAAGCAGAATGACATCTCTTCCCTCCCAAAGCTTATACCTCTGTCCTCCTGTTTCTGCAGGGATTCTGTCAGTGGGATTAATTACAAAATGCAATGAAAACATGGGACAGCCTCACGGGAAGACGTGGTCTGCCTGCTCATGTGGAGCTATCAAAGGGGTGTGCATTCAGTACTCACCTCCTTTAACTCAGATATTAGGAGCTTGCCAAAATGCACACTGTATTTAGGTGTTTTCTCCTCAAAACTATTCTTATCCACAGGTGTAAATAGAGATGGATGGGGTGGCATTTTGACTTAGAAGCCTCAAAATTTCAATCATCAGAAGAGTAGTGAGAAGAAATGTAAAGAACATAAAAAAATTAAAAAAAGAAAAGAAAAGAAAAGGGACAAAGGAAAAATAATGTGAAAACATACCAATCTTATGGCTGTTGATTTAGCTTTTATCTTTGGGTGTGTCATCCCCTCCAGCCATGCTTTTCAAAGGATGTAAAGCCCTTTTAGCCAAGATGCTTTTGCCAGTTGCCCAACAAAGGTGCACAATCAATTAGACCAGAGCAGAGCAGAGATGTTAGCGCGGAAGTAGCAAACAACACCACTCCGAGGAAAAGAGGCAAAGCAAAACTGCTGGTATAGAAAATGAAATGTAAGATAAGTGAAAAGAGGATCAGTGGTCGATAAGATTTGTTTTCCTTATTTATGTGCAGTGGAAACAATGGAGAAAAGCTCACGCTGAATGCAAATTATAATCTTCTGCTGCAGGTGGACATAATGGCATCTCTGGGGGTCTACAGAAAGGCTCCATAATTAGAGACTTGTCACAATACGGGCACTTGAACAACACAGTCACCTTTCGCGAAATAATGAGGACTCATGAAGAGTTGCATTATTCTAAATCCCTCTGAACAGAAGAGATGTCTGGTGTGAATGGAGATGCCGAAAATTTAACAACACAACATTAAGACCTTAACTTGTGAACTTCAGAAGCACAAGAAGGCTGAGCAGGGTTTTAGAGTACACAGTACTCTTTCAGGTTAAAACCCTTCCCCCTCCTCCTATGGCTCCCCTCCCTGATCCAGAGTCCCTCCCCATCTCTCCTGGAGCCCCTTGAGGGACTGGAAGGGGCTCCAAGGTCTCCCCGGAGCCTTCTCTTCTCCAGGCTGAACAAGCCCAACTCTCTCAGCCTGACCAAATGGCCTTCCTCTCACTCCCTTCAGCTTTCACTGCATACAAGGCTTGATTAAAAACTTTCAGGACAGTCCAGCAGAGCTCAGCTGGCCCCAGGACCAATCCTGGCCAGGCTTCAGCAAACTGGAGGTAGCTGTGACCAACTGACCACTGCTCTACTGCCCATCGAAGGGGATTTCGGTGCTCTGGGAGGTACCCCCAGGTCTGTGCCCATTCAGATATAGAGGGGGAAAAGGTGTAACTCTCCTCAGCCCTCAGGAGGGTGCTGGCCAGAGGAGCAGGGTGCCATGGTCATTGGCCCAGGGGGACAGGCAGGGCAGCTTCTGAAGGCATCTTTGATGGATCCAAGAGTACCACATCCCTGGAAAGCTCATCCTCTCACTGACATGCCACTCCAGCAGGTCCTGAGGGGGGAGAGTTTAATGCCATGATATTTTTTTGTGTCTGTTAAGGCAATCTGAAGTCAGGTTTAGAGCTCCATTAACATGCACTAGTTTTAATTAATCCCTCCCTCTGTGCTCATGCTGCTGGAATTCGAGTAACTGTGATGCTTGGGGCTCTGCCAGGGAGAGGATACACGACACAGTTTGATGTGTAGTATATTGTTTGTTTTCCTTTCTACCACTAGCAAAACATCTATTTATTTTTTTTCCACCTTTTGAATATGTAGCATGTGAAAAATAAAGATGATGCAGGGGAGGGAGGGAGCAGGGTAAGGGCAGATAATACCAAGCACAGTTTTGTTCATCTGGGCTGGTGCCTGCAAGAGACAAAAATGTATCAACAGACCAAATGTTTGTGTTTGATGGCTACGCAGCTAAAATAAAGTGTGAATTCCTCCCTGGCATGCTTACAGAGGCCACCCAGCACGAGCAGCACAATTACACGTCCTGCTGCATTTGTCACTGCGGTTCCATCCACCCAGAGGCATCTGCATATGAAGCCCATAATTATCAATTACAGCTAACTGCGCTCCTGGGCACACAGGGGTTGCTCAGGAGTTTAGCTGAACTCCCTTCCCCAGGTTAGGACAGGGGGAAGGAAAAAAAACACCCAATTCTCAACTCCCCTTGATCTGGATCCACAAGCACGTCCCAGCCCTGCGAAGCTTCTGAACTGCAGAAACACTGCTGAGGTCTGTGGCTATTGGCAACGAGCAGCAATTTTCCCTTCTTGGGTCTTTAATTTCAAGAAGCAAAACTCAGGGTTTTTTTCATTGGACATTATTGGTGCATTTTCTACATCTCTACTTAATGCCCAGCAGATCAAGCAGCCAGGGGAACATCCTGACCCTCTTCCAGGGTGGCAGTCATGGGATTTTTAAGAGAGTTCCCTGCTCTATCCCCTATCACTGTAGTTAAAATTTGCTACAGATGAATTTCTCTGAAAGTTTGAAATAGGTCCTCAGGGACATGTGATACTAGATCTCAAGAAATATTGATCTAAGGACATGACTGTGATTAACTACTGTAGCACAAAGAAATGTATGTCCAAAGGTCCTTTCTGAGTAGCAGTTCCAAACACTAACATGTCTTAGAATCACAGAATCAGAGACACATTGGAGTTGGAAGGGACCTTAAAGATCATTTCGCTTCAACCCCCTGCCCCGGGCAGGGACACCTCCCACCAGAACAGGTTGCTCCAAGACCCCTCCAACCTGGCCTTGAACCCCTCCAGGGATGGGGCAGCCACAGCTTCTCTGGGCAACCTGGGCCAGCACCTCACCACTCTCAGAGTGAAAAATTCCTTCCTAAGATCTCATCTCAATCTCCTCTCTTTCAGTGTCAAACTCTTCCCTCTCATCCTATGGCTCCCCTCCCTGATCCAGAGTCCCTCCCCATCTCTCCTGGAGCCCCTTGAGGGACTGGAAGGGGCTCTAAGGTCTCCCCGGAGCCTTCTCTTCTCCAGGCTGAACCCCCCCAACTCTCCCAGCCTGTCCTCCCAGCAGAGGGGCTCCAGCCCTTCTGGGTACTTTTCTAGGTGGGATGAGAACATGCTCACTTCTATGACTCTCCTCAGTAGCAGTTGTACCAGTGGTCCTTGCCCTTGTACAAGCAGAAACTCTCCTCAAACACATATGCCGTGGGGACTGGCTGCATTTCTTGGCCTAAACCCCACTGAAACAG